TTTTTCTAATCCGAGCTCGGCCCTTACCAGCTCTTTCTTCCTCCTGGTTCTCACATAGGAACCGCTAGCTTTCAGGTGCTTCAGGATTCGTTAAAAGCGAGCGTGTGTGCGTCTGCGACGGGGGTGGATGGATGTGCAACCTTACACTGAATTCTGTTTGTTGCCCCCCTGCTAGGCGCTATGGCTTCCTGTAACATGTCAAAGACGAGAGTGTGAACGCAAGCTTAGGAGCGCGACTTGTGCATGTGCGTGGTGTGGCAGGGGGCAGGAGGTCGCTCAGCCTTTCAGCGCACCCCGCTAGAGGTGTGGGGGCCCTGCAGATGTTCATGTGTGTTGTATCGGTAACCATAACGTATGCGTCCAACACACACTCGCATGTACACACAGCCCTCATGCTTTCCAATATCAGATGGAACTCGTTAGATGATCACAGATCTTCTTTCATTATGCATTCAGAGTCATGATACTCCTGTTTTGGCTAGCAGCTATTGCCAGCTTCCCGCTGCTCAATATCCAAAAAGTGCCACAGTACATAATACGCTCTCGGAGAGTCTTCTGTTTCTCTGCTGACAGCAGAACAATGTCCCACTGCCAGCACTGTTCATTTTACAACCAAGACCATAGAGGACACGGTCTTACTGGACGAGTCTCATGAGTTTGAAATACTGATTTATCAGAAAATACGCCTGTGTCCACATTGTGTGTCATTTGATTTGACATCTAATTTGGTGCCCACAGCAGGGTCTATAAAGTGGAACTCCTAAATTATTATTATTTTCAGTATTTTCGATTTTACATGTTGATAATGTCATGAATTGATAGTTTGCTAGTAATTTTTGAAGAAACGGTTCACCCCAAAATGAAAATTCTGTCATCATTCGCTTCGTTCCAAACATTCTTTCATCTGTGGAAGTTATTTTGGAAAAAAAAAAAGTTTATTGTCTATACAATGAAAGTCAGTGGGGTCCAGTATTGTTTTGGACCCCATTGACTTACATGGTACTAACAAAACCAATTTTCATTCTTCAAAATATTCAAAACAGTCTTCTTTTGTGCTCCACAAAAGAAAATCAATCATACCGGTTTAGAATGACACGTTTTTAGTAAATGATGACAGAATTTTTATTTGTGGGTGACTAATTGCTTTAAAATGATAAAGGGCGGCGAGGTCACACTATTATAGGAACAAATGTAGGAGATACAGGGTGAGCATGAGAGAAAGACTGAGTGTGAGAGAGAGCAGTTGCTCCAGGTCTGGCCTCCCTGTGGGGAGCCATCGCGGCCCGGCTGCCCGATCTTTCACAGGCACAGAGCACCAGCCCTCACAGAGCAACACCAAGCTCTGATTCACTGCAGGGACAAGCCACTAAGCTCAGCCACTTAGATTGAATCCTAAAATGCCCATTTGATTATTCAGACACACCTTAGTGGCAACATTTTACCAGTGTACCACTTAAACACCAGTGGATTGCCCTTTAACGTGTTAAACTGGTGAACCAATGAAACATTTGACTTGGTGAATTGTGTAATGTTTACTACTCAGGGCTTTTGACAAGGTGAAAGTGCCTTTTTTAGACCATCACAATCAGAAGCGTAATGCCTTTTCAAACTGAGGGTGCAAAGTGGATTTTTTTATGGAACGTCCACAAAAAGGATTTTTGATAATAAGGCTGCAAGATCATTGTAGGTTACAAATTGTTGTCTAAAAACTGTAGCAGAAATCATATATCTATACTTGGTTCATCTAATCAAGTCGCACCATCATATCGCATATCAACTTCTATGTTTCATGTGGAACACAAAAAAAAGTTTTGTTTTTTTCTCTCTCTTTTCCATACAAGGAAAATCTGTGAGCATTGGTTTATTTATTTTTTTTTATTATTAAAAACCGTAGTAAATAAATAAATTAATAATTATGTGTAAATAATAATTGTGACGAATATATGTAAATTGTTAATGCCAGGTTTAAAGGGTGTCTGTTAGAGTTCAGGTTTTTCGTATATATGAAGTGTATTTGGAAAAAAAAAAAAGTAAGACCCACTTTAAACCCGGCATTAATATTTTCTTGATATATATTGTATTTTCTTGATATATATATTGGTCATGTCACTGGTGCCCCTGTAAAACAATAGGTAAACGACACCCCTGGTACTCAGCAATGCTAGTCTAACATTTTCTCGATTATTTTTTACTGATTGTATGCATAAGGCCTCATAATGGTACTGTCAAGTGTGCTGCAGTTACCCAAGACACACCTCTTGTGTCTCCGGCTCGATTTGCTCAGCTCCTAAACCGTTGAGACTCAGTCAGCTCAGATTACCATCAGACCAGCTCGATCATAACTAATCAATTAGACTTCAAACGAGATTCTCCCCACGGTCTAACATCTGCAGGCCAAAAGCTAAGTGTGCTGCCTATTTAGGAGGTGCTTTGAGTTCAGTGCGTTTCAGTGAGTAGAAATAGAGGGCAAAACGCTGAGACTAAGAGTGAGGAATTCTCGTAAAAAAAAAAAAACCCTAAGCCACGGTTACATTAGCAAGCTCATTGTGACTGCGGTAAAGACAACATATCCGCTGGGAACTATGGATGTTTCTCTCTCAATGTGACAGGAAGTGCCACGTTTGAAGCGCATGCAGGCTCAGGGCAGGATTGTGGCTAGCTTAACATGGGCAACATCTCTCATGATCAGTGTCCAAAAGCAGCACAGGAGACAGCTGATGGGATCCAAAACTGTCAATTAGCAGTTCCTGGGTGGAGCTGTGGAGACAGGGAGAGGTTTGGGTGAGGATCATGACTGTGACAGAGGGACTTCATCTGAGGCAGAGCTTGTTGGGACCTCTTTTATGAACAGCCCCCCTTGTAATGTCACCAATTTGCTCTCAGTGCCTCTTTAAGCTCTGTTCTACCAGTCATTTTCCTCCATACCTCTCTACAAGTGAATCTAGTATACTTGATGCTAAATTTAGTACCGGTCAAAAGTGCATAATTAAGATGGCTATTAATGTAATTAATGTTTTTGAAAGAAGTCACTTATGCTCACCAATGCTGCATTTATTTGATCAAAACTAAACAGTAATATTGTGAAATATTATTACAATTTAAAATACCTGATTTCTATTTGAATATATTTTAAAATGTCATTTTTTCCTGTGATGGCAAAGCTGACATTTTCAGCCATTACTCCAGTCTTCAGTGTTGTATGATCCTTCAAAAATCATTGTAATATGCTAATTTGCTGCATAAAAAACATTTCTTATTATCTATGCTGAAAACTTTGATTTGTTTGATTTGTTTGAAATAGAAATATTTTGTAACATTATAAATGTCTTTACACTTTTGATCAAGTTAATTGCGGGGAAAAATATTCATTTATTTTCTTTATTGTTTTTTAATCTTAATCTTACTTTAGAATGGGGGTGTATCAGTTTCCACAAATATATTAAACAGCAAAAACTATGATAAAATTAATAAAACTATTATATATATGATGAGCATAAGTGACTTCTTTCAAAAACATTAATAACAAAAATCATAGTTATTCACTTTTGACCAATAGGAGTTTTCTTCTACCAAATTTAGTATCAAGTATTGGTAGTAGGAAAATGACTGGTATTATAGGTTGTCAGTCTGATTGGTTATTCAGAGTTGTGAGTATTTTTAGATCTTGTACTAAAAGGATTTTCATTCACACAATCTGCTCTCTTGACACAGATCTGCTGCCATCACTTGTATGTGTTTGTTGTTTTTGTAGATGTGTGTTCTTGTGTGTTTGTGCGTGGCAGCATCTATATGTGTGTCTGTCTTTGCTGGAGAACAATGTATTTGTGTTTCAGCAATGGTACACCAGCACAATGAATCTCCTGGGCACCTGGCTGATAGACCGTATGGACCTGCAGTTGCATGTGTATCAGCTGAAAATCCTCATCAGAATTGTAAAGGTAAAAACGACACCATAATTGACCACTAAAGTGCGTATAGATGGCCATCTGAATTCAATGCAGAACAGCTATAGATTAAAAACTGCCCAAGTATGCGCAGGAAGTAGTCATAGCACAGTATTTGCATCAAATGTAATTGTAAACACGTGCTATAAAAATATGCACATACCAACCAATCAGATTACAGAGGTGGATCAGACAAATGAAGGTGGTCATCCTCTCCAGCCTCCGCTGGCTAAGAAGACTAGAGTAATGGCTGCTGAAAATTCAGCTTTGCCATCGCAGGAATAAATTCTATTTTACAGTACATTCAAAATGAAAAAAATATTATTTAAATAGTAATAATATTTCACTAAATTACTGTTTTTACTGTAGTTTGATCAAATAAATGCAGCCTTGATGAACCTTGGTTTTTTTCTCCCAATAACAATAGGATTGAAAGGTGATCTTGGTGCATGTAGTCAACATTACAATTCAACATTTTATTGTTTAAATGCACCTATATGCAGAGTTAGTTTTATATTAGATAATAGTTTAGTAGGTCTACATATATAGAACAATTGTGCTACTCGCTTCTAATGCTCAGACAACATAATGGGACATCAAAGTGCTGTACCATATTCATGCAAGAGACAAAAATAAAATATACATCACATTTTATTTTCATGTATATATAAGAAAACACACTCTAGAGCCACTTCATGCCCCTATACCTATTCCCACAATGCTCTCTGTTTTTGCAGAAAAAGTATCGTGATTTCCGACTACAAGGTGTGTTGGACTCCACTCTGAACAGCAAGATGTATGAGACGGTGAGAAACAGGCTGATTCTAGAAGAGGCTACAGCATCTGTTAGAGAGGGAGGGATGCAAGGCATATCCATGAAGGACAGCGATGAGGAAGATGACTAGATCCTGCTGAAGACAATTAGGTGTGGACAATTCAGTCAGCCATGTCTATCGTGGCCTAAAACGATGCATGTACCACTGTCCATCACTCGTACATGTCTGGATGTTGTTAACGACGTGCTCTATGACATTCAAGGGACCACCTTCAATTAAAATGAAACAAAAATATATTAATCTCTATTCAGATGACAAAAACAAAAGCATATATTAACCAAACTTAACATTAATTGACACAGTTTGACGGGGTTTTTTTTGGGGGGGGGGGGAA